GTGTGTGTGTGTGTGTGTGTTTCCTGAAACATAAAATTAAAGAAAAATTCTCCCGAGCTGTGAGCTTTGAAGTGTGAGTTCACAGGTTCATCTTTTATTCTTTCATCCTCAGCTCACATGAAAGAAACATCATGAATGTCTTCATAAGTCCTTTCAGAAAGCTTATAGTCCGCCAACAAGACAAGGACGGATTTGTAACTGGGCACCGAAGACCAGTGCAAGAGTCAGTGTGTGCGTGTCTGTCTTTCAACCATCAACACATTCTCTTTTTTCAGCAGTTAGAAAGTAACATTTTTATTTATTTATTTTTTTGTCGTTTTGCCTCTGTAGACCACTAAATCTGATTTTAAGTCATTATCCATTTCCCACCGTGAAGTGTTGTTTGAGCAGGGAATATAGCCCTGTGCACTTCTCAATTAATCAGCAGCCACATCATCAATAAACACCAGTGAGCCATATATGCACATGTCACCATGTTTGTCAAACCATTAGCTGTTGCTTTCCTTATCCATACTTCTCTTCTCCCATTATTCTACTACAGTTTAATCTTTGTTTCATTTGTCAAATAATGCAGCCTCCTTTATCTGGTTTTTGGCAAAGTCTAATCTTTTACTGAGTGTAAACAGTGGTTTGCATCTTGCTGTAAACCAATATCTGTGTTTCCATTCATGAAGGCATTTCTTGGTTGCAGACTTTAACAATGAATTGCCTACCTCGCTTTTAACTTTGAACATTTTTAACTTTGTTAGATGTTATTAAGTTTTCTGGCTGTAATTCTGAGACCTTATCTGTTTGCACTGAAGCTGCATTTTGTTTGTGTCTGATTGTGCTGTGTTTGCAGGGTAAGATAGCTTAATAAAATTGCTAAAAGCAATATTACTACAACATAATTGGCACAGCAAAGCTGATGAGACCTGACAGTCTTTAGCTTCACTTATCTTATCTTATCTTATCTTATCTTATCTTATCTTATCTTATCTTATCTTATCTTATCTTATCTTATCTTATCTTATCTTATCAACAAATGTCACATGATTTTCCTTTGGAAAGTGGTGAGCTAATTTTTCACAATGTGTCTGAAGTTCTTGGCATGAGAGCTACAGATAAGGCTGGTTTCCTGTTGTTGTTGCAAATCATCCTCTAACCGTCAACTTCCATCTGCACAATAACCTAATATTAGGGAAAGCACTGCAGCTGCACATTTATAATGCAGCAGCGGGAACTATAATCCGGAGAGAGAGCGGCGGCTCTGCTGGGCCAGAGCAGGGTAATTGGTTACCTGACTTAGCTTATGCTGCTTGATAGGACTTGCATGTTTTGCTGAGACTTTGGACAAGGTCTCTTGAGAATCCCAATTAAAAAGCAGAATGCAGAATGGGTCTTGTGAGTTAACAAACAAGGAAAAGGTTTGCTGCTTGGAAAGCAGTAAGAAGTAAACTTGTTACTACTAGGCATAAAAAGACCCTGCATGAATAATAGAGTGTTTGCAGTGGTTCAAACCATTTTTGTTGTTTTATTTGAGAGCTGGTCTGGTCTGGAAAGGTCTCTCCCATAATTTTCACATATTAAGCAAATCTGGATCCAGTAACATCTGAATGTGAATCTAATGCCGTAGTGGACTTTTGGTCACTGTGCATAAAGGCAGAGCATATCACAGCAGCTTTGAATGTAATATGCCTATGTTTTGTTGTTACTTATTTAGCCATAAATATTTTACATATTTTACAATATTTTAACATTTTACTGTTACATAATAAAGAAACATTTTCAGGGGGTTTAATATCGTAAATCTTGTTTTCAAATTAAAAACGAATGTAATTGTTTTGGGGAAAAGTGTGAAAGGGAAAATTGAAGGATTATATCAATTTGCTATTATTACACATGAAAGAGCTGGCTCAGCAGGAATAAAAGTTTTTCAATCACCTTTATTTCTTTAAGAGGAAGTAAGTGCAGGAATTTGCAAGGGAATACCACGTATATGGTAAAACAGCAGTGTGTACAATTCTAACAAGGCTGACAGTCAATATTTGGTATAATCCAAACGCAGCCTAAACTCTCTTAGGCAAAGTTTCATGTCATTTCTTTAAAGTCTTCAGAAATAGTTCCCCAGGCTTCTTGAAGGACATTCAAAGCTCCTCTTGGATGTTGGCTGCTTTTTTGTTTTGTTCTCTGTCAAAATGATCCCACACTGCTTCAATAATGTTGAGGTCTGAGCGCTGGGGAGGCCATTCCATGACTCACAGTTTAATTGTGTGTTATTCCATCCAGGTATGCTTTTATTGCATTAACAGTGTGTTTGGCATCATTGTCATATTGAAAAAAGAAGCTGTTGCAGAGTGGATGAAAATCTGTCTGTACTTTTCTGTGTTCATAATTCCATCAATTCCATCAAGTCCCCAACAACACTTCCTGAAATATTTCCCCAAACCATGATGGAGCCTCCACTGTGTTTTGCACACAGTCACTGTGGTATCGCTCTCCTGATCTCCTCTGTACATATTGATGACAATTTGAACTTGAATCAAATCTTGATCCATCTAACCATCAAACTGGTTGACACAAATTTTCTGTGCAGTTCTTGTGTAATCTCACATACCTGAGCCTTTCCTTAAGAAAGCTTAATGACAGCCTCTCTTCCACTGAGCCCATTTCTTATGAGACTTCAGTGAACAGTAGATGGATTAAGGGCCAAATGCATCACTCAGATCCTGCCTGAGTCTTCGCTGGATATTTTTTTTCCTATTTCTTAAGGACATGAGATTCAGATACTGTTGTCTGTTATTTGTAGACATAACACTGGTTAATCCCCTCAGTGACTGAATAGGTCTGTGTTTAATGGCTTAATTAACAATTAGACATTCCTCTGAAAACAATCAGGTACAAGGACTGGACTAAAAGTAAGTGAAAAAGCAGCTAATGTCCAAAGAAAAAAGGTTTTCTCCAAAGCACTATCACTCAATAAAACTTAAAAAAAAAAAATACAAGAAACTATGAGGTGCAGTTTGTAAAGTGAAACATGGAAAGTGAAAACAGGAAACTAAATATTTAGTTTCCTGTAACATTTAGATTTAACATTTAAAATTGTGTTTTAAATATGAAAAGTTACAAATATTTTACTAAATGTTGTAAAAAATGACTCGGGAAAAATCATATTTTTGTAAGGTTTTGAGCTAAATGTGGAAAAATGTTGCTGTTAATTTCAGCATGTTTCACTTTACAAACGACGCCCCATACGTGTTACTTTTTGGCATGCCAACACTGTCCATCAAATGTAAGTTTGATAGACAGTTTGGGGGCATTCACTAATGCACATAATCTGGATCTATTTCAGTCCTTGTGTTGCGCAGGAATGGACACAATGAAATACGACTCCTGCAACCCAACACCAGTCGCACAGCTTGTATCTGGTGTCGGTGTGTGCTAGTCAGAGCCAACTTCATTTTCTTTGCACCCATTCACTGAGCTGTGAATGTGTAATATTATCAGATCCACATTCAACGACTGGATGATGGGCATTCTCAGCAGTGATTGTAAGTAATATTAGTAAATCAGCCGAGACTTGATTCTTGAACAATAACGCTTAAAGAACTGTAAAAATTATATCGCACTGGTCTTAGAGTAGTCAGTGTTTAGTTAGGTTAGTTTTACAGTTGCTTTTAAGTGACATCAGTACTACACACAGTGGGCTGGATTGGGTGTCGCTCACTCTGACCCTATTGTTTGTAACACTGTCACTCTGCCTGTCCCAGGAATTCAAACCCACCTCTTTGGTCAAAAGCAAAGAGGAGATCATCCTGTTCAGTCAAAAAAAGGCTTTAAAATGTTC